TGTCATCACTCTGATTGTTTCTGTTTGGAGAAAAATGACGTGTTGCAACCGTCCCTTGTTGCTACTGTCCCCGGTCTCCCCTAGTTTAGCAATGACAGCAGAGAAAGTGAATGAAGCCGTTCAGTCTGCACTGAGAAGGCTTCCACATTAAATTAAATCTGTCTCTGAAAGCCTGCAGCATCACTAACAGCCACCTGCTCAGCTCTGTACTTCTCTCAGTAGAGGATGGTTGTTTACAGTGCACACAATTTCAGGTTAGCTTATTAGCATAGCTTCCTTCACAGTCGAGCTGGCGCTCTACATACYTCATGGCCAAACGTTAYCGATCGGGTAAATCAGATCCAATCYTTTTAAACTTCAACAGAGTCCACGCCTCCAACAGGCCATTGTTTCTCAATAGCTGAGGTTCCAGACTCTCTGTACGAAGCAAAGTGTAGAACAAGGGCTGGTTTTTTACCAAGCTAGCCTTTTGCTGTTTTGAGCTCAAATTCTGCTATTTTTACATTTTAGTTTCTATTCTGCTTTTTAGTATTTAGCAGGTATTTGCAACTCTAAGCTAATATTCAGTTACTTTTAGCTTTTAGTGACCATTCTGCTACCTTTTTCTACTTTTCTGCTACTTGGGGCTTTTAGCTAGCATTTTGCTACATTTAAGTACTCCTTTGTTTAACTTTTAGCTGATGTTTTGCTAATTTTAGCTTGTATTTTTCTACTTTCAACTTTACCAACTCAGTTTCAGCCTATTCAGCAACCTTTAGCATGAATGCAGCTTTTGGCATTGCTTCAGTTTAATTTGCTTGTTCCCTCTTTGCGTTTTGTTGGGACCTAATTGGTGCTGACATGAACCATGTTGCCACAGGAAGTACTTACATGAGTGCCTTGGAGGTGGGAGGTTTTGTCGGCAGCCTCGCAGCAGGTTTTATCTCAGACAGAGCTGTAGCTCGGGTAAGTAACAGAAATGACTTTCGTTACCCTTTTTAATATCAATGTATAATTCAGCTCCTTTGTTTGGTCTCTGCAGCAAAGCCTGAAGACCCACGGCAGTCCTCGACATGGCCTGCTCATTCTCATGATGGCTGGCATGTACGTGTCCATGTACCTGTTCAGAGTGACCATCACCCCTGAAATACCAAAGGTAATTATCACCTGATGCTAAGGGGGAGCCGAATCAGTAATCACAGTTGTTTGGGAACAGAAGGAAATATTTTCGATCAGGCAGACAATAATAATTTTCCATCTGCCTTAACGTCCGTTGGTACATCCCAATGTGGCGAATCCAATCAGACAAATAGTGTGTGCAATCCCACCAACCTCAGCAATCACCTTCTCCAAGATCAATTCAATCTCACCAGCGAATTCCAGGGACCGCAGCCGGCCCGCGACCCTCAGCAAGAACCGCTTGCAGACAGACTCCCAGTTCGCACAGGGTGTGAGTCTGAGTGCTGAAAGCACAGCAATCTTCCATATTGGTCAGGCAACCAGGAAATGGCCTGAATTGCCACTGATGCTGTTTTGCAGAACACCAGGAGACCACCAAGCCAATCTGTAGAAAACTAATGATCAGAATCTAAATCTGCTCTTGTGGAGGGAGGGGCAGCAGCACTGTAGTTTCCAGCAGCACAGAACTTTTCCTCCCATTCTCTCATTCAATAAAGAAGACAAACAGCCTGTGTTGCTTCTGCACTGGTCAGTGCTTTTAATCTGAATAAAACAGGGCTCAYAGTGCGACCAATTTGGTCGCAAATMCGACCCGATTTCCTAATAGTGCGACCGAGGGGGAGGGGGAGCGGTCGCCCTCTGAAACTAAAAGTTTTCATCATGTTCCATAAAAAATAATCCAGCAGTATCAATGGTCGCCCTCCGACAGTCTCATCTCTCCTACTAACACTGCGCTCTGCTCGCGGGCTCCGCTCCACACCTCCCGCACACACACGTTTGTTGTTCTATCCTCATGGGGACTTTACATTGGCTTCCATTCATTTCCCTGTCCCTATAACCAACCATAACCTCCCAGGTAGACTACACACCTGACCCAAACCCTCTGTGCACACGCTCGCGCGCATAGCGAAACAACCGTAGTTTTTTTTTTAAACCCAGATCAGAGTCTAAAAACAGTTCTTTCTTGTTAGCTGGAGATGAAAATAAGATGTGGACGGTTGCTCGCTCGTCCATCTTGTTAATTTAACAGTTGGGGTCTGAGCGCTGCAGATCATTTCAGCTGGACGAGGAGGCTCACATATATGGCAGGCTGGTTATGCATTTAATCGACTTCACCACAGTTACATTCCAAGTATCTGAAATAGGTTATTTTGGGTCTCAGGAGGATAAAAC